TTACATTTAGCACTGTCAGAAGACAACAATGGCAACTAGCAGGTTTCTCTCAGCTCGTTTCCTGTTTTTTCTCTCTGGGTTTCTAGGCAATGAGATCTCCACCAGAATTCCCAGTTACACCTGCCCATTAAATCCATCATGAGCATATGCCCATAGTTTGATACCTGTAGCCCATAACTGAACAGTTGTTTGTAGGAATGCAGCAGAGATGCAACATCTGCCATTTGTAGCACTGATGGATGTCTTAGAAGGCCAGTCTACCCAGAAAAATGATATTTCAGCTGAAGGTCAAGATTCCTGCTGGCATTTTAGATCTCATTCAAGCTTCACTAATGAGATATTTGCCAACATTTGTGGGTCTGTTCCTGCCTGCCTTGGGGCCTCGCTGCTTCTGCTTCCAACATAATCCTACTCCTTCAGTTTAGAATTCAGCAGGGTAGTGTGGAGTCCCCGTGTTAAAGTCTGTAGACCAGAGAACCCCGGAGCAGTGATCTCACTACTGAGCTCTTCCAGAGTCCCGAGCTATTTAGTCCCTCAGGAACTGCCAAGAATTTAAATACCCTTTTTAAGGCTTGTTCACGTGAACTGTAGGGTTTTTTTTTTTATTAAAGCATTGTGGGCATCAAGCTTTTATACAGCTTTTGGCACACTTTGATCAGTTTTGTTGAAGCCTTTAAAGAAAACTTTAGTTCCATTATGTTGATGTTCAACAACGATCTTATTGTCCTTCTAACCTTGTTAAAAACCTTTTAGCAGCTTGTTTAAACAAGACGATAGCTGGCTTCAGTAAGTTTACAGTGACTTTCTGCACTGCCATCAAGGTCCCTCAGCTGAACGAAGCTTTAAAGGCTTCAAAAACTGTTTGAAACTAGCCAACAGCTTTGGAAAAGCTTGCTGTACATACTGCTCTTATATAAGCTGAAGCCAAAGTTTACAAGGCGAATCTGTCCAACAATGCCATACACACTTGACATGAGATGGCTTTTTGTACAACCTAAAGAAACGAGGACACAACGCAAAGTTGTAGAGCAGTAGACTTCCATTCGAAAAATCCTGGCCGTACTTTTTATTAGGTTACAGACTTTAGTTTGCACAACATACAGTGGGGCAAAAAAGTATTTAGTCAGCCACCAATTGTGCAAGTTCTCCCACTTACAAAGATGAGAGAGGCCTGTAATTGGCATCATAGGTAGACCTCAACTATGAGAGACAAAATGAGAAAACAAATCCAGACAATCACATTGGCTGATTTGGAAAGAATTTATTTGCAAATTATGGTGGAAAATAAGTATTTGGTCAATATCAACAGTTCATCTCAATACTTTGTTATATATCCTTTCTTGGCAATGACAGAGGTCAAATACTTATTTTCCACCATAATTTGCAAATAAATTCTTTCCAAATCGGCCAATGTGATTGTCTGGATTTGTTTTCTCATTTTGTCTCTCATAGTTGAGGTCTACCTATGATGCCAATTACAGGCCTCTCTCATCTTTTTAAGTGGGAGAACTTGCACAATTGGTGGCTGACTAAATACTTTTTTGCCCCACTGTACAAATACAGACACCATTGTTCATAACTTTCATCCATTCTCTTTGGGTACCTTTTTAGTCTCCCTGACTTGACTCGATACTGACTAAATCTTCAGGGCATTCCAAGGAATTCTGGTGAGGAGACCTCCCTTCCAGATCCCCTAGTGGTTTAAGAAGCCAGTGCCCATGCAGAATTGAAATTTTACTTTAGGGTGGACAAGTCTGTAAATGTTGGGGAGAACTTTTAGCATTTATCACTTTAAGTGCCATAGCATGTATTGTATATTAAACGTTTGTAGTACGGAGAGTGAGGACACCACCTTCCTCTTCATAATCTTGCTGTAACCCATTGCTGATGTTGGCTGGTGACGTGGAACCTATGAAAGCCAAGTCAGAGCCCTCTGTCATGCAGTGCCTTACAGCCTCCACACACACAGTATCGTCACACCCTACACTAAGCTCTGTCTGGCCCCTATGTCCACAAGGAACTCGGGAAAACCCAGGTGCTGTTGATCAGCACTTCTCATGTAAATAAAAAAAAAAAAAAAAATCTTGTGGAAGGAGCATCGGAAAGGGAAGTTCTAAGCATGAAAGCAATTCTGTACATGAATCGCGTACCTGCTGCATTGTCTTTGCAGATTCTATTTTTGTTTAAAATATAAATTGTATGTGGTCAGGAATTGGTGGATTTTCAAATAAAATCAGCTTCAACAGGTTTCTGTGTGTTCAGTGTTTCATTTTGAGTATTGAGCCTCTTTGCTTGTCTTTCTCCTTATAACAAGTATTCTGGGAGAAAAAGCAACAACTTAAGTGCCTGTGTTTGCTTCATCTGGATTTTGCTTTCCCAGACAAGTCTACGGAAATGCAAAATCCACTTAAAGGATCTTTAGCATCTCCCAGTCAAGGGAGCCCACAAGGCTGTGTCATTCAGTTTCCTGTATTACGTACCGTCAGCCATTGCAGCTCACCAGCACCCTCGTAGTCCACTGACCTTTTTGCTGTCAGGAAGATCACCAGCTGGCAACTCACCAGCACCCTCGTAGTCCACTGATCTTCGTGCTGTCGGGAAGATCACCAGCTGGCAACTCACCAGCACCCTCGTAGTCCACTGATCTTCGTGCTGTCGGGAAGATCACCAGCTGGCAACTCACCAGCACCCTCGTAGTCCACTGACCTTTCTGCTGTCAGGAAGATCACCAGCTGGCAGCTCACCAGCACCCTCGTAGTCCACTGACCTTCCTGCTGTCAGGAAGATCACCAGCTGGCAACTCACCAGCACCCTCGTAGTCCACTGATCTTCGTGCTGTCAGGACGATCACCAGCTGGCAACTCACCAGCACCCTCGTAGTCCACTGATCTTCGTGCTGTCAGGAAGATCACCAGCTGGCAACTCACCAGCACCCTCGTAGTCCACTGATCTTCGTGCTGTCAGGGAGCTGGATCACCAGCTGGCAGGAAGATCAACTCACCAGCACCCTCGTAGTCCACTGATCTTCGTGCTGTCAGGAAGATCACCAGCTAACTCACCAGCACCCTCGTAGTCCACTGATCTTCGTGCTGTCAGGTAACTACCTGCCCATAGGATGTACAGGCAGACAGCTATGTTGAGCGTTTGCAGGAGCCTGAGACTGCACCTATCTGCAGATTGCAGGTGCAATGCTCTGCAGGATCCTTAGAAAATAAATAATAAATGCTCATTGTTTTACCTGCATTTATTTTTTTTTTTTTTCTTCAAAAAGTGAATGTATACTTTAAACTAGAAAACTATCACGCCGGTTTATAATTGGCTTTAAAGTCACCAGTCATGTTGTAAGGATAGAAAAAGAATAATAGCCTGAAATTCATGCTCATGCTGAAAGGGTAGGGTCATCCAATCTGAACCCTCTCCTCCGCAGAGATGGCTTGACCAAATAATGCCTTGGCCTTTGGTCGGGTAACTGGCACTGGGGGAAGCCAGGAGTAGCATTTTCTTCAGAAGTAACTATTCAGCCCTTCTGTTACTCTTTATTAATTCAAACAATCTTGTTATTAAAATATATACTTTGGTTTACCATCTGTGGGAGGGAAAAAAATGGTTTCTTCAACAGTCAGCAGATCCAGAGATGCAGGCAGCTAACGTTCTAGGCAGAACTATTTTCCTATAAAAGTGGAGCTTGGCTCTCTCACTTCTGGCTCCTGAGCTTCCCCATTGGACAGGGCAGTGGTTCATGCATATGCTGTTACTGGTATCTAGTTAGTAGTTTCACCACTTACCAAGCTGCCCCCAACCATTATGTCTGTTAGGGTTTTCTGAGCCAAATGGGCTCCTGTCTTGCAACATTTGGGCCACAATGAAACATGTTAAAAGCTGCCAGAACATTCACTTTTCAGATCAAATGAAGCCTGCAAACCAATACTGCATCAAGAGCCCATGTGGTCATCGCTTAAAGGACCAATAAGAAGGTCCAGGATGGTTGAGGACAAGCTGGAGTTTTGTAAAAAGTGGAGGCTTGCCTTTAGCCATCCTCCTTCCAATGATCAATGGCCAGTAAGGACATTCTCCTTGACATAGGGGGATGATAGTTGGTGGAGTCTAGCTATGAAGTATGGGAAAGTTCAAGTTCATTAAATTATGGGTTCACTTGAAGGTTAACTTTTCCCCCTTCCAGCAAACGTATTATTAGTCCACTTTAAATGTGTTGTTATGCTTCGGGGTTTGATAATTAAAACACCTGAGCTTACCCTCTTCCCACAAAATAAAAATGAGACGTTCCATTGGGGCACAGACATTTTTCTTTTAATTAAGTTGGAAGCCAACTTTGATGTAAATATGGGCAGAATGCCTATCTCAGGAAACAGTCCTCCACCCAGCTGGCTGCTTTCTATAGCTGGCTGCTGTTCTGTCTGTGAATCAGATTGGAGGTACAGAGAAAAAATACACTTTCCTGCCATTGTCCCATTTGGAAGATCTATGCGAAGATACAGCTTAATGAAATGCACATTTATTCTACATACAGTAACTTGTTACAGGCTGGAAGAGTAACATTTCAGTTATGATGGAAAAGCTGATTTTATCATCCTTGGTGTCACTGGCCATTTTAGATTATTCTGACAGGACAGTCCTTGGCTCTGATCAGGAGTTTTGTCCTTTGCACTCTGCTTGTGTAGTGGCACGGCTTGTCCTTCGATGCTTAACAATTTTAGCTCCAGTGGGCCCAGTGTAGGTATTCCTGCAACACAAAATGAGTGTTTTTAGAGCTGCCTCGAAGTTGTTCTGGCAGTAAAGCAACAATTTTTTTTTTAATCTGCCCGGAGGTCATTGAATGCCCATTATAAGTCCTCATGCACACTGGACATTTTTACAGCGGCTGTTTTTGGCTTTTGACATTTTTTTTCTACAGCCAGAAATCTCCCCAGCATATTAACCACCTCCCAGAGACGTCCCAGTGACGATGGTGTTCCACTGTGTCCGGAAGACGCAGCGGGCACCGGATCGTGGTGCTGCGCGCTCCCAGGGAGCGCGCACAAGCGGGTGGGGAGGCAGTTTGTAAACGACCACTTGACCCTGCACTGCCACCGTCCGGCTGTTTATATACAATCTGATCATCAGACAGGACCTCTCTGTGAGGTCCCGATCATGTGATCACATGCAGAGTAGTAAGCAAGATGTCACTTCTGACATCATTGCTTTCTACGTGTGAAATCTGTGAATGATCACAGAGATCACATGGTACAGGGTTATTCACAACAGCCTTCTACCATGTGACAGCTCACACAGTATTTCTCAATGGCTGCAGTAATGCAGCCAGAGAGAAGGAGAAATGATTGCTTTTACACCCATAAAGGCTGTAAAAGCAATCAGTGTAAAAAAAGAAAAAAAAAAAAATATTCACCCCTTACAAGAAGTACAGTGTCACCATGGTGACACTGTATTGCTAGGGTGACAGTATGTAAAAAAGAAAAAAAAACATATTATAAAAAAGTTTAAAAATTATAATTTTTGGTTATAAACTAATTTTGGTTATTTTTTTTTTGTTTTACTAAAAAGGTAACAGAATAAATTTTGGCCGAGATTTATGATGAAATATTATTTATTTGCTAAATTTTATAAGAAAAACACTTTTTTTCAAAATGTGTGCACTTCATTTACATAGCAAAAAAAAATAAAAATCCCAGTGATGAATAAATACCACCAAAATAAAGCTTTATCTGTCTCAAAAAAATGGTATAAAATTCATATGGGTACAGTGTTGCATGACCGCGCAATTGTCATTCAAAGTGTGATAGCCCTGAAAGCTGAAAATTGGCCTGGACAGGAAGGGGGTAAAAGTGTCCGGACTGGAAGTGGTTAACCAAAGTGTCCATGTGCACACAGACTGTAATCAACTTTTTTTGGCTGGAAAAAACCCCAGAACTAGTGGGTTTCTAGAGGAGCTTTTTAGCTGTAAAAATACTCTAAACGCTGAAAAACTCGGTAAATCGTGGCAAACTAGTGTTTTTGGATGTTTTTTGGTTACTCTAAAAACGTGTCAAAACACAGAAAAACAAACGTTTTTTAACATGACTTTAACATTACCAGCGTTATTAAAATGCTCCGTGTATATGGAGCCTAAATGTAGCATTGTCATTTTAAAAAAACATAAAATGATTGTTTGGTTTACTGTCTTAGGCTAGGTTCACAATGAAGTTTGCAGGATGGTTGAAGGTGGAGGAGTCGCACCCGTTCCCGCACCCAAATCGCACTGCGGGAGATGTACGGGACTGCCATTCATCCTGAACGGTACCCCACGCGTCTCAGACTGCAGCACGTTTCCCTGCACCCTAATTTTTAAAAAGTTACATGCACTTTTTTTTCCTATGGGAAAAGTGGGCACAACAGCTCATTGAAATGAATGGACTGCCGTACCTGAGCAAATGCAGGCCACACAGCCCACAGTAGTGTGAATCTAGGCTTTAATAAAAACCCTACTGTGTTCTAAACTTACAAGAGAACAAAACTTTAAAAAAAACATCTTTCTAAATTTTAGATGTTATAATTGTGTACAGTGTACCTCTATTTAAAACTATACTTGTGATAGACAATTACAGCATTAAACAGAGGCACACTGCCATCTGCGAGCTTCAGCAGCCCCTGCAAGCTGCAACCATCTGAATGAAGGCTTCAGCTTGCATGTGCTCATTATGTTATAGCTGAAATTGATCACATGATCAGGAACCACTTCAGAGCTTTGATGCTCTGTAATTATTGAAAACAAAGCTTGAATATAAGTGCAGTGTTATCATTTCACTTAAAGTGGATCTAAAATCACCTTTTTGGTTTTTTATTTGGGGGGGGGGGGGGGTGTTAATTAGAAGGTTAGACTCTTGGTCAGGTTATCTTAGCTTTGCATGCACAATGGAGATTCACCCTCAATTTGTATTTGTAACCATTGTCTTTAGGATTGAATGTGAATCCTCTCCCTTCCTGTTGTATCTTGAGATAGGAAGTGAAGGGACATTTTCTTAAAAATACAAAATGCAAGAAAAGGGGGGAGCTTTAGACTTTTCTCAAGAGCTGAAAGAAATAATCAATTTTTGCTAGACTTTTTTTCCTTCATGGATACCTTGGTACAGCTGCATACTGCTGCAGTGGTCACATTGGGGTTTATTTACTAAAGCTGGAGAGTCCAAAATCAGACTCACTTCTGCATAGAAACCAATCAGCTTTCAGGTTTCATTGCCAAAACTTCATTGAACAAGCTGAGGTTAGAAGCTGATTGGTTTCTATGCAGAAGGGAGTCTGATTTTGGACTCTCCAGCTTTAGTAAATAAACCCCATTATGTCTGCACATATGCACAGGCAGCTGTCCCGCTGCTATGGGTGATGCCAGGCCCACAATCTCCTACTGGTTCTTGAGGTGTTGAGTCCTGTAGAAGACTGCTGCAAAGACCTTCCTCTTACACTTGTTGTTCAAGGAATTCCCCCATGTGGACTGGAAGCACCCAGGAGGGGGTCTGGGACCCCACTTGAGAATTTAAATTTGAGAGGGCATTTATTAAACTGCGGACTATTCTCACGGTGGTTCAACCATTGTTTGCCATCTTATTAGAAATACCACTAGTCAAGTGGAAACAATCTAACTGCAGATATTCTACTGATAAGCAATTAGAATCCCCCCTAAAATAGCAGTTTGAACTAGCTGGTTCTGTCCTCCATCCGGTGTTCTGTGTTGGTAGTAGTCATGGGCAACTCCACCCAGGTTCGGTTTGAAAAATCTTGTTTGAAATTCTGCAAGTCTGAACTGAAAGGTGAATCCCAATAAAGTGTATAAGGGGCAAATCTTGTTTAAATTCTAATGGAGTATAGATGTAAAAATGGCTTCTGAATATGTGCAGACCTAGAGTCAGGGAAGTCTTTTTTTTTTTTTTTTTTTTGTCAACCTATTGGCTTTTGGGTAATCCTGGGCACCTTGTCAGTCATCGGTGAAATCTCAGTTCCTGCTCATCATCCTGGAATTTTGGGCAATATGGCTGTCTATGCAGCGCTGGACCAAACTGCAAGAAGGCCAGCTGATCTGGATCCAGTCAGACCATGGACTAGCAAGAAGTCCCTCCATAGCAAAACTCTGAGGTACAGCAAATCCTGTCCTGGGCAGAACTTCATATACTAACCTTGTCAGCCCTTTACATTAGTGAGGTACACAACTCACAGGCAGATTTTCTCAGCCAACAGTGTGTGGACCTTTAGGCTTTAATGGCATGGCTGTTAAAGCCAAGGTTTTAGGGACATGAGCATGTTGGAGTCTGTCATTCCTAAGGCTCAGAAGTCCATTTCCTTCAAGGTCCATTATTAGATGTGGATAGCGTACTTTGGTAAATCTATTTCACTCCTGGAGTTTCTCAGTAAGACAAATCTCATTCCTTCAGTTGGATCTGGACCATGGTCCTCTTGGCACCATCAAGGGTCAAGTCACTTTCCCTGCCATTCTGTGCCAGACACCACTGGCTTCTACTCGCTGGTTAAGACCTTTGTGCAGGAGGTCTACTATCTACCCCATCCAGTAAAAAATCCCCTATGGCACTGGGATTTTTTTTTTTTTTTTTTTACTTCTTTAGAAGCCCCCATTTGAACCATTTAGGAATATTCCCCCTATCTACTCTGAGGTGATGACTACAAGAAACACAACTTTGTCAGCTAGGTGTGTTTCTGAGCTGGTTGTCTTTTTTGTTTGACGGTGTCCAGTCCTGTAGGTTGTAGTAAACACAAAGGTTTAACACTTAGTGTTCTTCAATGGACTCCAAGATAAGGATTTTGCAACGAGTATGAATATCCTATTATTTCTCTCAGAGCAAGTTTGAACTGAACTGTTTTGTGTGTTCTGTATATTTAAAATAATGTGTTTGTCCAGAGAATATTATTACTATAAGCTAAAAATGTTTTCTTTATGGATGTTGACATCACACATACAGTAGAAATAATGTCCCTAGTGCAGTCCTATGGAGGTTCCACTTACTTTGAAATCCTTTTCATCCTCCTGCAGCAATTGTTTCAGGTCAATAGAGAGCTGGGAATCTCTGTCCTCAGAGGAGGGGAGCTGTCTGTCTTCACCTAGAAGCAGAAGATTAGTGATACACATATTCATGTTTGGCTGTAGCATGCTCTGCTTCTTTTGTCCAACTTCATGTGTGGCTATGACGGCTAATTAAAACCAGAATGTTCCCTTGGAATCAATAAAACACATACCATACCAGACAGGTCCTTCCCTAACCCCCCCACATCCTCCTTCGAGGCCCACTGCATCCGGCTCTCTCTCCCACCCCCCTAAGGATTGCGGTAATCTATCGGCCTCCTGGTTCCGCATCCCCCTTCCTAGACGACTTCGCCACCTGGCTTCCCTTCTTCCTCTCCTCTGAGCTACCGACCATCATCCTAGGCAACTTCAATATCTCGATCAACGCCAACAGCCTGGCTACTTCCCAACTCCTCCTTCTATTCTCCTCCTTCGCGCTCACACAGCACACTCAGTCCTCCACCCACTCCAATGGAAACACCCTGGACCTTGTTTTCTCCCACCTCTGCACCCCCCACGACTTCACTAACACCCCCTTCCCCCTCTCTGACCACCACCTCCTCACACTCTCCATCTCCCCCTCCCTCAACTGCCCCCTCCAACCCCCCCCCCCCCCCCCCCGAAGCGTCTAACCATCACCCGCAACCTCCGCAATCTGAATCCGACCCATCTCCACCTGGCAGCTGACCATCTGTATGACAGTATCCTCCCTCTGTCATGCCCTGACCTGGCCACTACTGCATACAACGACTCACTGTCAGCTGCCCTTGACTCCCTGGCACCCCTAACCACACGTAGCATTAGACCCCGACCGCTTCAACCCTGGCAAAACGACCACACGAAATGCCTCAAATGACGCAGTCGCGGGCTGGAGCGCTTATGGCGCAAAACCAGATCCCCTCACGCGTTCTCCCTCTACAAAGCCGCCTACACCACTTCCCTCCACGCCGCCAAGCAAGCCTATTTCATAACCTTTATCAACACCCTCTCCACCTGTCCTCGCCGGCTCTTCTCCACTTTCAAATCCCTGCTCTCTCCCCCCCCCACCTCCACCCAGCACCTCACTCACTGCCCACGAGATTGCCAATCACTTCCAAAACAAGATTGATGCAATCCGTAAGGACATTGTCAACTCACAATCCACCTCTCCACTCAGCCCCCCGCCCTCTTTCAACCCATCAACCCTCCCCTCCCCCAACCTCAGAGCCGCACTACCCCCCACTCTACCTAATGCCCCACACACCATCACCTCCCCAACACTCCGTTCCTTCAGCCCAAATACCCCTGAGGAGGTCTCTATGGTCGCCTCACCACCTGCCCCCTGGACCCTATCCCCTCACAGCTCCTCCAGTCACCCCCCCCCCCTTCATCGTTTGCTCCCTCACCCACATCTTCAATCTCTCCCTCTCCACCGGCACCTTCCCCTCCCCTCTAAAGCACGCACACATCACCCCCATACTCCAAAATACCCTCCCTTGACCCCACTAACCTTAACAACCTTAGACCCATCTCCCTGCTGCCTTTCACTTCCAAGCTCCTTGAGCGCCTGGCCTACAATCGCCTAAGCGCCCACCTCACTGATAACAACCTCCTTGACCCCGTACAGTCTGGCTTCTGTCCCCTGCACTCCACCGAAACCGCCCTACTTAAAATCACCAATGACCTAATAACCGCCAAAGCCAATGGCCACTATTCTATTCTCCTGCTCCTCGACCTCTCCGCGGCCTTCGACACTGTTGACCACCCTCTCCTCCTTCCCAAACTGCACTCCCTTGGCTTCAGGGATGCTGCTCTCTCCTGGTTCTCCTCCTACCTTTCCCAATGCTCCTTCAGCGTCACCTACAACACTGCCACCTCCCCCTCCCTCCCCCTCTCTGTTGGGGTCCCCCAAGGCTCTGTCCTTGGGCCTCTCCTCTTCTCCATCTATACCTCCTCCCTTGGCAAACGTATTCACTCCCACGGCTTCAATTACCACCTCTATGCCGACGACACCCAAATCTACCTCTCCACCCCCCACCTCACCCCCTGCCCGCCTCGCCCACCTCCTAAACGAAATATCAGACTGGATGTCGCTCTATTTCCTCAAACTTAACCTATCCAAAACTGAGCTCCTGGTCTTTCCCCCCGCCCCGCGCCCCCCCATCCTCTCCATCACTACTAACAACGCCACCATCTCTCCCACCCCACACGTCAAAGTAGTGGGTGTCACCCTGGATTCCCACCTCTCCTTCCTACCCCACATCCAACTGCTATCTAGATCTTGCAGGCTCCACCTCCGCAACGTCTCCAAGATACGCACATTCCTCACCCCAGACACCACCAAACAACTCGTACACTCCCTCATCATCTCACGCCTGGACTATTGCAATTCCCTTCTCACTGGCCTACCCAAACGAACGCTATCCCCACTCCAGTCGATCCTAAACTCTGCGGCCAGACTCATCCACCTCACCAACCGCTCCACATCTGCCTCCCCCCTCTGCCAATGCCTTCATTGGCTCCCGATTGCCCAACGCATCAAATTCAAACTGCTAACTCTGACCTACAAAGCCATTCACAATGCCACCCCAAACTACATAACTGACCTGATACCCAAATACTACCCTACCCGTGGCCTCCGCTCCTCACAGGACCGCCTACTCTCTAGCTCCCTGGTCTCCTCCTCCCACGCCCGATTGCAGGACTTCTCTAGGACTTTCCCCATCCTCTGGAACTCCCTACCCCAATCCATCAGACTGTCACCTACCCTCCTCACCTTTAGGTGCACCCTGAAAACCCTCCTCTTCAGGGAAGCCTACCCCACCCTCAGGTAACACCTGACCTCACCTAACAGCCGATCTCCTCCACTTCTCCCACTACACTCCGTCCCCCACAGCCATTTCCTCCTGTACCACCTTCCCCTCCCTCCTAGATTGTAAGCTCGAAAGAGCAGGGCCCTCGAACCCCTCGTGTATTGTATTGTTACTGTCTTGTCTCATATTCTGTCACCCTTGCTACTGTACAGCAATGAGCATACCCTTTGGCGCTATATAAATACTGTATAATAATAATACACAGAACTCCAGCTAAACAGTCCACATCAAAGAGCCAATGGCAACAACGAAGTTTGTGATTTCTCTTTGCATTCTCCATCTCTGGATACACACTGCACCCATATTTCTTTTAGCATTTCCTAAAAGAAATATGGGACTTGCCATAACAGATCCCTTCTGAGTATGCTGTTGACCCTCCAGCCACTCTACTGGAAGCTTTCTCTTCTAAAATCCTATCTTAACGAACATTTCTTTGGAATGTTCACTGAACCTATCCCATGATCCTCTGGTACGTTCTGACACTATCCTCTACACCAGGCATCACTAAGTGGCAGAACGTGTCACTATCCTATCTGGATTGCTGCAGTCCCACCATTTAGGAGCCAATTCTTCCAGCCATAACCACTATCATCCTCACAAAGCCATCAGTGGAGCCAGGACAGTTCTGGACAGAGGGTGAGAGCTGCTTGCGTTAACAAGGTGATGATTGGTTGCTATGATGCAGGGTGGTTCTAGCAACCAAACACCAGCTTGCAGCTCCTGCCCTCTGATCTGTCTGTGCAAGGTAGGACTGGGGGGGGGGGGGGGGGGGGGGGGTGTCTGAGGGCAGTAATTTTGTAGGGGGACTGTGGAAAGGAGGCAGAGGAGGACAATACGGTTGGGTTGATGTCACGGGAGTGTGAGAGAGGGGGATGATGCGAAGGGGAGTTAACTGTGATGTGAAAGAAGTCGCCAACCCTGTTTTTAAAATTGCGCAGCACCATGCTGCGTGTTGCTGCAGCAACGTGGTTTGGCAAGTGTGAAAATCCACCACAGGTGCCTATGTGTGGGGGTGCCAATAATACGCATCTGCTAAAGTGCAGCGTGTTCCTCTGGGGGCCAGGAACATGTGCGATTCTGAGTGCGTTTCCCAGCTTTAGGAATGGGAACCTAGCCTAAGAAGAGAGGGGGGGCTGTGGTGGGAACTAACTGAGTCATCGCACACAAAAAAACACGATTTGGACTTCCGCTGGAGGAAAAATTTTTTTATTGCCTGGAGCTCCATGAATTTTAATTCAATACCTCTGCTCTACAACATATAAGACACACTGTATTTTTAGGCTGGATTCATACAGTTCCATGTGTTGCAGCATGTATGGGGTAAAAATGTATATGTAGGTGTGTTTGGACCTGTATAGTGTTCCATTTAAAACCACATGTGAACTAGACACATAGGACAAAATTGTAGTTTTACTTGTAATGCCAAATATCAGAATCAGCCAAAATTCAAGCAGCATATGGTCAAGCTTTAAATTGGCCATATAATACTGGAATTTAAACTACTGAATTCTGCCCACTGTCCCCATCTCCACAACATAGGGATGACTATTTCTGTAGTGTGTAGCACCCTAATTGATAGGTGCTAGGTTTAAATAGATAGAATTAGTTGTGTTTTTTATAGGTACATTTGGTTGCCACGCTGTAGTCAGAGTGGCTGTAATTATTTGTTAGGTAAAAGTATAGTTAGCTAACTGTACCTGGTGAGCTGTGATCATTTAGTTTGGTCTGCTCTGTGTGCTCAGCTTCTGCCAGTCTGCCTATAGCTTCCTCTGGATTCTGGAAACTTGAGAGGTTTCAAGATCATGGGTGTGGAGTTATGCACATGCCAGCATGAATATTAATACAGCTCCAGCTTATCCTAGAGAACTCTGATGGCATGCTGGGTAACTATATATTCTATGAGCTCACTCAGCTCTGGGTCTTTCCTGTATAGGATTGTCCAGCCTGAGATAGGGCACGTTGCCCTCCCCAGGCAACTACTTCCATGTGGGTAACCTCAGGGCCTGAATGCTGAGATGTGGATTCCACTAGGCTGTCTACTGAAGATCTAGGTCTGGTATCACGGAGGAAGACGTCCATATGCTCTTGGGCCTTGTGAGTATGGTGGGCCTTGAAGGATCTTAGACACTGTGCTACTTCATCCAACTCTTACACTAGAGAGTCATCCGCAGGTATAGCAAAAAGGGAACCACTGGCTGGTGTCCCAAAGAGCTTTGTCCATGTAATTCTCCATTTCAAAGGACTCTACTCATGCTTGCTACTACTGTTGCAATAAAGTGGAAGTCTAATGTTTGATTCAAGCATGAACTTTGTCATAACTTATCTTCGAGAACACTTAAAGTGCAACTTCAATCTCTCAATTACTATGGACTATTTCTAATCCTTGTGCTGCTAGCATTAGTAAACAGATCGGAAAGTATATCATTTAATTGTTTTATCTTTTTTTTTTTTTTTGCCTTCCTTCATTTACCTTCTGCTTTCCATGATGTCACACATCCCAGGAGTCTTCAGGAAGGAAGGGAGGGTTCTCAGCTCAGCCAATGCCTAAGAGCTGAGGAAAGATGAATTCCAGGAAGGAACTGCTACATGAATCATCTGCCCTTACTCAAGATGGCCACTACCAGAAATGCCAAGGGGTGCTTTTCAAAATGATTTCTCAGCAAAATAAAGCATGGGGATAAGGATGGATGGGGGACTTTGTTTTGAATATTAAAAATGAATTATAAAGTCCTTAACTGGTTTTGAATTTGGAGAATCCCACCTAATTCCCCCATCCATATCCTAGTTCTCCAAAAATAAAAACACTACCACTAGACCCGTTAGTGAAGAAATGTGTGAGTGAGCCTATATGTCTGGCTGTGGAGCAAAATATTTGGGGAGGACCTGGACAGTATTCCTGCAGCTCTTACGGGAGTAGCACTACAAGTGCAAGAACTGCTAGAATTTCTTGAGAATAACACAGACAACAAAAGGTGGCTATCGATTTCTTACAAGAGCAGCAGGTTTGCTTTTTTTTTTTTTTGCTTTTGCACTTCTCAAACATAAAATGATGTCAATGATAATTTTAACAGCCTTTTCTTTTTTGCCTCCTTTTGGTCTATTGTTAGGATTTACATACACTTTACTGACAATCTACATCTATGACAAACCTTCATCATCAGAGGTTATGTCCAGATCCTGTTTGACCAACCTGTTCTCTAGAACTTCTGGTGGATCCAGGCCAACCACCTGCGTTAGGAAGGCATTCCTGGAAGAGAAGGAGAAGGGGGTAGAAGCTGTGTTCTGGGATCCCCAGCCAACTTTTATTTAGAAAAATTCCACATCTGGATTATTAACACTTCTCACTAATCATTATTATTATACAGAATTTATAAAGCGCCAATAGTTTCGCTCAGCGCTGTACATTACAATGGGGGACAGAACATGTGACAGAACAGTACCAATACAATGCAAAACATGAGGGGATTGAGGGCCCTGCTCTTTCGAGCTTACAATCTAGGAGGGAGGGGATAGTGGTACAGGAGGAGATAGCTGTGGGGGATGGAGTGGTAGGAAGAGTGGAGGAGGTCGACAAGTTAGCAGGGGGTGGGGTAGTCTTCCCTGAAGAGGTGGGTTTTCAGGGTGCGCCTAAAGGAGAGGAGAGTAGGTGATAATCTGATGGGTTGGGGCAGGGAGTTCCAGAGGATGGGTAACACCCTGGAGGCGGGCATGGGAGGAGGAGACCAGGGAACTAGAGAGAAGGAGGTCTTGTGAGGAGCGGAGTGTGCGTGCTGGGCTGGGGTACTTGGATATTAGGTCAGGTGTGATGTAGTTCGGGGCAGTATGGTGAACAGCTTTGTACGTCAGCATTAGGATTTTGAATTTGATCCGTTGCGCAATCGGAAGCCAGTGGAGGGATTGGCAGAGGGGGGTGGCGGAAACGGAGCGGTTGGAAAGGTGAATGAGTCTGGCAGCCGTATTCAGGATGGACTGAAGCGGGGATAGCCAGCGGCGAGGCAGGCCAGTGAGGAGGGAGTTGCAGTAGTCGAGTCGTGATATGATGAGGGAGTGGATGAGCTGTTTAGTGGTTTCTGGGGTTAGGAACGTGCGGATTTTGGCGACGTTGCGGAGGTGGAGTCTGCACGAGTTTGTGATCATTTGTGAGGAATTCCTTATTCTGCACCATGGGTGTCAAACTGGCGGCCCTCCAGCTGTTGCCAAACTACAAGTCCCATGAGGCATTGCAAGATTGACAGTTACAAGCATGACTCCCAAAGGTAAAGGCGTGGTGGGACTTGTTTCGCAACAGCTGGAGGGCCGCCAGTTTGACATCCCTGTTCTACACAGATCTGGGTGCTCTAGACCCATGTACAGGGCAAAGGGCAACCCTGTGGATAAATGAACCGTATCCCATGTTCTACTAAAGTAAAACTTCACTCTCTCAATCAACATGGACTATTTTTAATCCTTTTGCTGTCAGCATTAGTAAACAGATATCAAAGTATATAATATTTACACGTTTTAAATTGTTTTCTTACATTTCTTCAGTTACTTCCTGGTTTCCAGGCCTAGGCAATGATGTCATACATCCCATGAGTCTTCAGGAGGGGAGGAGGGTTTTTTTTTTTTCAGCCAAGCACAACCTCCTGCCTGCTTGCCTGAGCTAAGGGCAAATGGATCCCAGGAAGTAAATGCTACATGAATCATCTGCCCTTACTCAAGATGGCCACAACTAGAAATGCTAGGCTGTGCTGTGATTTCTCAGCAAAATAAAGCATGGAAACATGGATGGATGGGGGAGTTTGAATATTAAAAGTAAATAGCGCTTCTGGTTTGTGGTGCTCAGGTACAGTGTAGTTCCACTTCTAAGTGCCATCAACTCAAGTTCGACTCCTAGCAACTTAATGAATGAGAGATCTAAAAAAAGAAGCCGGTTGAAAACTTGATGATTTTGATGAGACAGTGGTGAGAACTATCTCATATAAAGGCTCATTTTAAAGAGAGAAGCAAAATGGCAACTGATGAGATCACAGAACCAATTCTATATACTGACATACAAATGTATATAAATACGATTATGTACAACCACACCAATAGACATGTATTCATGTATACATACAATGTATTCTCACACATACTGTACATACATCAAACAACATACTGATAAATATACAGACTTCCATTGTCCTTAATGCCTCATTTACATGGGCTACCGGGGACCAATATAAAAGACTGACTGAGCTGCAGTTTTGGGCCTTGTCCCCACCTGTGTGCTGTGGCTTGGCATAAATTCAACCACAGGTTGCGTTCCATCGACACTATTCAAGTGAAAAGGGCCATGCCACAACCACCCAAAAACCACATGTGATAGCTGTACAGTGCTGAGGCCTTTCAGGGCTTGAAGCAGGTGGTGAGGAGGCAATATATCACCTCTGACCCGCCTGTTCAATGCCTCTGAAAAGTGATCATCTCTGGATCGGTTTTCAGAGGGGTGTTGAACACCACCACCAGTGCAAACACACCCCAATGCCCAACTCCAGCCCAATTTTATTCTTGGACAGAGTGGGGTAGATTTATTTTTTTTTAATTTTCTGTGACCCTCCAATAGTGAGGTTTTTACTTACTTCCTGTCCATACAGGAAATGCATGGATGGTGGCTACACAAGGAGAAGAAGAAACAGACAGCCATAAAAAGAAATAACAAAGTCAAAAGTTGCATTCCTTCCCCACTTCGAATAAAAAATGTTTTTCCCTAGGTTCACACTGTGACGGGAGTGACTTTTGGGGGTGGGGGGACCCCTGTATCATCTTCCCAAATTCCTTTAACTCACCCTGTGCCTGTTAAGGGGTACAGGGTGTGAATGGGAATGTATATTGTGTATTGGTGTGGGGATTGTCCTTTGTTCACTGCAGGTGGTTGTCCATTGTTATCTGCCATGTGCTGCATCCCATTGTTCTGTGTCTTGGTTGGGGGGGTTCCTGTAGCCCTTCCCAGGGATGGGGCGGGCCGATGATGTGTTTCCTGTAGCCCTTCCCATTCATGGGGCGGGCTAATGATGTGTTTCCTGTAGCCCTTCCCATTGATGGGGCGGGCTTATGTGTTTCCTGTAGCCCTTCCCACTGATGGGGTGGGCTGATGATGTGTTTCCTGTTCCTGGTTGTGTTTCCCCGCCCTGTGTATATATCTTGTGTTTTATGTAAAAATAAAAGAGTTGACTTCCTGTCTTAAGAAGAGTCTGGTGCTGTCTATTTCCTGCATGATCAGCGGGTGGTGTCCGGGGGTTTGTGTTCAGACAGGGAAGCTGCAGTATAATGGAAATACCCAAGTGCAGTCGGGGTCCGGTTCTGTTACACACACCTACTGCAGTGTTTTGCATTTTGCAGAAACGCAGTACAGTCCATTTAAAATGATTTCCTATGGGACATGCTCACATCTCCGCGTTTTCACCCGGTGCATTTTTTGGAAAGGGTCAGGGACTTTATTGAATGCAAAACATTGTGTTTTTGGTTCTATATACTTCAATGGGAACGCTGCAGAAAAGCATGTATTGCATTTGTGATGCTTTTTTGCCGCGTGTTGCGTTTAAAATCTGTCTAGCAACAAGAAAAAAATAGAAAAAAAACACAAAATGCAGCAAAAGCGCAAGTGCAAAAACGCAATGCAGAAATGCCTCAAACACAACCTACAAAGGTGTGAACCTAGACTTTGTGTCCATCTTGGAGAGATTTCCCATCACTTCCTGACATGACAGAAAGGGGAAGTCTCCTCCTAATAGGGACAAAGAAAGCAATAAAAATCCAAGGGTCAATTCAGTCATGGTCCAATTTGAAGGAGCTGCTTAGGTCTGCATGGGACCCCTCCATGTAAAGGACTATCCAAACCTTCCAGGTCTTTGGACCTTTGAGGACAACAAAAATTAAACGGTCCCTGGCCTGTCTCCTGGAAACGAGTATGTTTTGTCTACAGTCCACCCAGAACAGGGCTCCTGCTGTTGTTAACAGTTGGCTGTGAGATGGGGACCCCTTCAGATCATTACACACAATGCAATCCAAAAGCCAATTTTTTTTCATGCTCGATGTTGGCAGTTGTGTGATCCAGAAGCTTCTCTATGCTGGGAAACCCTCGTTCCTCTAAGGGGTTAATCCCTCCTGCATTAAAAGCTTGAAGAACATTTATTACCCCGCATGTGCACTTAAGAGTGTACCTGGATATTTTTAGATCCTGAAGCCGGCAATTGAAAAGATGACTTATTAATTGCAAATTTTCTTGCTCCGTCTTATAAACAGTCTTCTCCAGATCCTGAATGTCTTTACTGTAAATTGCAACCTGGAGAGGATGAGAAATGCGAATAAAAAAACGTTTAGGACACAGAGTCCTAAATGGAAAACCTTTTAAGGAGAACAAGTTTTAACGATGATTGAAGACCTTCATCCCTTAAAGCTGAACTCCAGGAAAACAGCTAATTACTTAGATGAAATACATATAACAGGTCTACTTTACCCTGCAAAGGATTTGTAAGGCTTCATTCAGTCGTAAAAATGTTACCGATGTTATTACACGTGTTTTCTGGGAGAAAAGTTCCTGCGTAATGATCAGTAAAACACTTGTGTATAGATGCATAAAGACGTATACAGTTGTGCTCAAAAGTTTGCATCCCCTGGCAGAAATTGTGAAATTCTAGCATTGATATTGAAAATATGACTGATCATGCCAAAAAATGCTCTTTTATTGAAGGATGATGATCATATGAAGCCATTTATTATCAAATAGTTGTTTGGCTCCTTTTTAAGTCATAATAACAGAAATCACCCAAATGGCCAGCATAAGAAGTCTCCGCCCCCTGGAATGTTTGGCCTTGGTACAGACACACAAGGTGACACACACGGGTTACAATGCCAATTAGAGGTTAATGCCCCACATCTGTGGCTTTTTAAATTGCAATTAGTGTCAGTGTATAAATAGTCGATGAGTTTGTTAGCTCTTACATTGAAGCACTGACTAGGCTAGATACTGAGCCATGGGGAGCAGAAAAGAACAGTCAAAAGTCCTGCGTAACAAGGTAATGGAATTTTATAAAGATGGAAATAAAAAGATGTCCAAAGCCTTGAATATGCCAATCAGTACTGTTAAATCACCTATTAAGAAGTGGAAAGTTCGGGGATCTCTTGATACCAAGCCAAGTACAGGTAGGTGTACATAACTTGTTATGATGATAATTTATATTCCCCTTTGTTTATAGCTAATTTAGGCGTGTACAAATGCATATACATGAGCAAGCGTGTAAATCACATGTTTGGATTCTGTGTTCTGAAAGCAGCTCAAGTTTACTCACCTGTGTGAATGACTCCACTGAAAACAATGTAAGGCCCCTTTCGCACGGGTGTTCCATTTGTTTCATCAGTTCAGTCACGTTTTTTCAAAGAAAAAACGGATCAGTTTACATCAGTTTTCTCATCAGTTGTTTACATCCTTTACCAATGAAAAAGGGATGCAAAAAAACAGACCGTATGCCCATTTACATCTGTTTTTTTGTCTGTTCCATTTTTTTTACGGAACAAAAATAGGCCCTTTCCACACAGGCGTTCCGTATGTCCATTTTTCATCTGTCCATACCCATGTATTTCTATAGACTAGCAGATGTAAGCGGGTTATCATCTGTTTACATCTGTTAATATCTGCATCTATTAGCCACTTCCCGACCGCTCTATAGCAGAACTACTGCTACAGGGCAGCAGGGCCGCGAAAAATCACTTATATATACGTGATTGTGTGTTCTTGGGTAGGAGGCACGCACACGCCCTACCCGTGCCACCATTGGCTGCTTCACCTGTCGATCACCGGGTCCTGGCCGGTGATTCTCCGCTGGCACCCAGTGATCACCAAGTATCACTGACAGGGGGAGCGGTCTGTATGTAAACAATACAGATCTCTCAGCTGTCAGCTCCAGCACGCTGCTTTGTATGGCTCTGCATAGCAGAGCCAAACAAAGCAGTGTGCTTGCATAGTAAAGCACAACACACAGTAAAATACACAGAACACACAGTTAACTCTTTGATCGCCCCAGATGTTAACCCCTTCCTGCCCAGTGCCATTAGTACAGTGTCAGGGCTTTTTATTAGCACTGATCACTGTATTGGTGTCACTGGGGATGTCAGTGGCAGTTAGTTCCCCCCAGTGTCAGAATGCCCGCCGCAGTCCCGCTATAAGTTGCTGATCGCCACCATTACTAGTATAAAAAATAAATAAAAATCCCAGTGTATTGTGGGAACTCGATTCTTTAATGGTAGAGCTTCTTCAAAGCACACAGCAACTCGCTTTCTTTTCAGGGCCTTTTTAGCCCACTTTTATTTAAACAAAAGTTCAAAACATAAGAGGTTCCCACGCAGGGGTATCCACCATCACACAAAACACCGATTCAGCCTCCTGGCTTATACTCAACTTGATGTCTGTCTCCTGCAGACTTCTTCAAGACACAGCTCTTGCACGCCACTAGCACACAGCTAGTCTCTAGCAGCCCCTTGCTGCTTTTTGGCTTCCACCTCTCCTAGGTGAAGCCCACCTGACTCCTATGTGCCGGGGTGGAGCCCTGCTGACTCCTAGCTGCCGGGGTGGAGCCCAGAACTCTGGTCCTGACTCTATCTAAAGGCCTGCACACACCTGTGCAATCAGTCTCCTGGCCTATTCCAACACCTGGTCCCAGGATTGGAGATTTCATCCCTCCCAGATCTCTTTGAAATCTCCAAGCTCCAGATCCCAAAACAGACCTTACAAACAAAGGAGAGTGAAAAGCCACTTTCCTCCATATCAAACATTTACCCTGGAGCCCCTCAACCTGCCTTGTTGAGAATCCTGGGTGACTGATCACCAAACTGTCACAGTATATATATACCGCCATTTGTAAATGCTATAACTTTCACATAAACCAATTAATTTACACGTGTTGGAATTTTTTTTTTAGCAGGTCGCAAAATACATTTTGGCCTAAATTTATGTCGAAATTAGATTTTTTACGTTTTTTGACTGGACATGTTTAACCTCCCTGGCGGTATGATTATTTCAGATTTTTGGTGCTGAAAGCAGTACCATTTTTTTGCATGGAAATATGTATTTTTTTTAGTTGTAGGCTGTAATTTTTAGGAAAAACTCACTGAAATCTGTCCGAACAAGAGTCTAGTAAACATCCCGGGTATGATAAAATTTGAAACACAAAATCATAAATTATAATTTAATAAATAATCACAAAAATAATATAAAAATAATAAAAAATTTAATTCAATAATATAATCAAACCAAAAACACTGAAATTTGAAATATAGCGCCAAGTTCGCACATTGCTGAGCTCAGTCGCAGAATCGTTTTCAGTGTCTGATGACGAATTTCCCCCACGAATCATTATCACTCAATTCTGCAAGTGGTTCTGATTTACTATCGCTGTTCTCTAGCTGATCTAAACCGCTTTTGACCTAAAGGGACACTTTTTGGACGCCATGGACGTTTCTCAGTTTCCAGGCAGAAAGAACAGACAAAATGCAGGCAGGGCGCCGGACAAAGCACTCAGGACAAAATGTATGTGAAATTGGTTGAGACAGCAATGTTTTACTATGTAAAATGTAAAAAAAAAAAAAAAAATGACATTTTTTAAAATTTTTAAATTTCCCGCCGCCTGCGGCGCCCGTACGTCACGACGTCACAGGGACAGGACACAGAAGCCGGATGCCGGCATCGGCCGGAGGAGATGGCCGGGGACGCTGCAGGGGACACATCGTGGGAGCGCAGGGTAAGGTAAGTGAAGAACACATGCCGGAGCAGTGCCGCATGGTAAGCCCGAGTGTAGCTCGGGGTTACCGTTTGTGGTACTGAAATGTTACCCCGAGCTACACTCGGGAATACCGCTAAGGAGGTTAATAGCAAAAAGTCAAAAATATTGTTTTGTTTTTTTCAAAATTGTCGGCCTTCTTTTGGTTATAGCGCAAAAAAAAAACGCACAGGACATCAAATACCACCAAAAGAAAGCTCCATTTGTGGGAAAAAAGGACATACATTTAATTTAGGTGCAGCATTGCATGACTGCGCAATTGTCAGTTAAAGTAATGCAGTGCTGTATTGCAAAAAAATAGCCTGGTCATGAAGGAGGTTAAATCTTCTGGAGGGCAACTGGTTAACATCCATTTTTTTGCACAGAAGAAAGCCCTTTTTTTCTTTCATTAAAAAAAATAGAACAGGCAAAAACAGATGTAAACGGACATACAGTCCGTTTTTACATCGGTAAAGGATGTAAAAAACTGATAAGAAACTGACAAAAAACTGGTATGTTTTTTTTTTGTTTTTTTTTTTAAACGTGACTGAGCTGATGAAAAAAACACGGAACACTCATGTGAATGGGGCCATAGGGCTTTGTTCCATTTCAAAAAACAGATGTTAACAGAAGCAGATGTCAACGGATGATAACGGATAATCATCCGCTAGCCCATAGACATACATTGTTGTCTGTTTTTCATCCATAAACGGACAGATGAAAAACAGACATATGGAATGCCCGTGTGAAAGGGCCCTAGCTGTGTTCAGATATATAATTTGTATATGTGTATTTTTACTGCCGTGTGACTGAAGCCTAATGCTGTCCATTCCAACCTGCGACTTACACAGCCCCCTACCACAGCCAGCGATCTAGACCTGACCTTTCTCTGATGCAGGTCAGGAGCAGCAACAGATTGATGAGGTCACCTGTCTGCTCTCTCCTCCTGTTACTTGTCAGCACACTGCGAATGAAGGACCCCTGAGTGGCCCCAAGTACTTAGAATATACACTCACCAGCCACATTATTAGGGACACCTTGCTAGTACCGGGATGGGCCCCCTTTTGCCTTCAGAAAAATGCCTTAATTCTTCGTGGAATAGATTCAACAAGGTGTTGGAAACATTCCTCAGAGATTTTGGTTCATATTGACATCAGTTACTGTTGCCTTTCTCTCATCTTGAACCAGTCTACTCATTCTCCTCTGACCTCAACAAGGCATTTTTGTCCACACAACTGGATACTTTCTCTTTTTCACAGCATTCTTTGTAGATCCTTTAGATGATTGTGTGTGAAAATCCCAGTAGATCAGTTTTTGAAATACTCAGAGCAGTCCATCTGCCACGTTTAAAGTCACTTAAAACCCCTTTCTTCCCCATTCTGATGCTCAGTTTGAACTTCAGCAAGTCGTCTTCACCACATCTACATGCCTAAATGCATTGAGTTGCTGCCATGTGATTGGCTGATTAGCTATTTGTGTTACCAAACAATGGAACAGATGGACCTAATAAAGTGGCTGGTGAGTGTATGTATATATTAGATAACTGCTTGACTTGGTGTCTTTTTGTAATATAAACATATGATATAATTCATTAAAAGATCAGACTGAGTTAGAAGAGGGGTTGGAGGTTTATGTGTTACAAGTCATGGACTGGGCACCAATTAACTATATCAACATTTTTCAGCTGGGGCGGTGTTTGCGCACCCCCATGGTGCCATGAATATAGGATGTAATTTGCCCAGAATCAGTGTCATGCATTGCCAAGGTGCAGGCGGGCCGACCACCAGCACCATAGCAACCAATAAATATCTAGGGCAGAACTCATGGTGTATGGCATTGGTCCTGGTAAGGTGGCATGCAGATCCCCCCCAGCATTCAGGAGAGGACAAAAGTTCACCACTGCTCAGACCTGCTATGCCTCCAGCCCATGCTGCTGGAGCTAAGGCTCTGATAGGAAGAGGGGACTCTATGATGGGAGGACTCTCATTTATAGGACAGCCTTTGATGTATAGGGGGAACTCTGATAGAAAGGAGGGGGCTTCTGATGTGATGGGAGGACTTTGATATATCAGGGGGCCTCTGGTAGGAAGGGAGGCTTCTGATGTGATTGGGGAACTCTGGTGTTACTGGGGGAAACTGATGTGAAAGGGGGGCTTCTGATTTGAAGTTAATTTCAAGGTGGTTGAGTGCATTGTTCAAGAGTCAGGTTTCCCATTGATAAATACTATTTTTGTTTTTTACATTTTAGACTGGGGGTGCCTCAAGATTTTGCATATTGCTGAAGGGTGCCACAACTGAAAAAGACCATTTTGGACACATATGATTTCATGCAGTAAGCCCCTAGTTACCTCTTTCTTCATCCACTCATTCTCTTGGATTTCTTTCTGGCTTTCCTGGTCAATATGCTTCACTGCGTCCTAGGAAAATATTATAAGAAATACTTTTATTTTCTGTTCTATGACCATGATACTTAAATGCTGGCCATACATGGTTAGAAAACTGTTTTTGAAAAAAAAATGATTGGATTGGAGTCAAACATACGTGCGTTAATGCCGTCATCGTATCGAAGTATTTTGCTCAATTGTCGGCATATTATCAATCGTTAACAACGTAAATTATACATTTTTCGTTGATCGGTGGAAGTGATGTAAAGATTTTTTGAGCTATATGAACCCTCCTACTCGCCAACTGTATTTATAGAAAGATTTTTCTTTTCATTTCTTGTACTTCCAGGGCTACATTTTGCTGTAGATTTTTTCAAACGGTTTTTTGATCAATTCCACTATTAATGTTTAGGAAATCAATTGTTTAGGCTCCAAAAATCTGACATGACAGTTCTTTTTTTTTTTGCCATCCAATTTTGCATTTCGCTAAGCGAAATTAGCCCCCTAACATTTCTAAAGTCGAATGATCAAGTGCGTAAAACCCTTTTTTGAACGATTTTCCAACTGTGTAAGGACAGCATTAGACTGCCTACAAAGTTACAAAGTTGCAGTCTGATCCCTGGGGGAGAGAAGACTGAGGAAATTATTATATTATTATACAGTTTTTATAAAGCGCCAATAGTTCGCTCAGCGCTGTACATTACAAAGGGGGGACAGAACATGTGACAGAACAATACCAATACAATGCAAAACATGAGGGGATGAGGGCCCTGATCTTTCGAGCTTACAATCTAGGAGGGAGGGGATAGTGGTACAGGAGGAGATAGCTGTGGGGGATGGAGTGGTAGGAGGAGTGGAGGAAGGTCGGTCAAGTTAGCAGGGGGTGGGGTAGGCTTCCCTGAAGAGGTGGGTTTTCAGGGTGCGCCTAAAAAGAGAGGAGAGTAGGTGATAATCTGATGGGTTGGGGCAGGGAGTTCCAGAGGATGGGTGACACCCTGGAGAAGTCCTGGAGGCGGGCATGGGAGGAGGAGACCAGGGAACTAGAGAGAAGGAGGTCTTGTGAGGAGCGGAGTGTGCGTGTTGGGCGGTACTTGGATATTAGGTCAGTGATGTAGTTCGGGGCAGTATGGTGGGGACAGCTTTGTACGTCAGTGTTAGGATTTTGAATTTGATCCGTTGCGCAATCGGAAGCCAGTGGAGGGATTCGGCAGAGGGGGGTGGCGGAAACGGAGCGGTTGGAAAGGTGAATGAGTCTGGCAGCCGTATTCAGGATGGACTGAAGCGGGGATAGCCAGCGGCGAGGCAGGCCAGTGAGGAGGGAGTTGCAGTAGTCGAGTCATGATATGATGAGGGAGTGGATGAGCTGTTTAGTGGTTTCTGGGGTTAGGAACGTGCGGATTTTGGCGATGTTGCAGAGGTGGAGTCTGCACAAGTTAGTTAAAGATTGGACTTGGGGCTGGAAGGATAGGTTGGAGTCCAGAATGACACCCAGTACTCTGGCCTGCGGGGCGGGTTTGATGGTGGCGTTGTTGGATGTGATGGAGAAGTCAATGGGGGGTGGTGTCCGGGCTGGGGGAAAGACAAGAAACTCGGTTTTGGAGAGGTTCAGTTTAAGGAAGTGGAGCGACATCCAGTCTGATATGTCGCTCAGTAGGTGTGTGATTCGGGCAGAGACCAAGGGGGTGAGGTGGGGGGTTGAGAGATAGATTTGTGTGTCGTCGGCATAGAGGTGGTAGTTGAAGCCGTGAGAGTGTATGAGTTGGCCAAGGGAGGAGGTGTAGATGGAGAAGAGAAGGGGCCCAAGGACAGAGCCTTGAGGGACCCTAACAGAGAGGGAATGTTTCTTCTTGCCTGCAGAAGACTGATGACTTCACCTCAGCCTAGGCAAAGTCACTTAACTTAAGCACAAGGATGGCTTTAAAATGATTAAAGATCTTTTTTTTTCTTAAAAAAATTGAGGCTGTATATGTACCATGTCTCAAATGTATTCATGCAGTCAAAGCTGATAAGAGTATACATGATCTTTCAGTGTCAGTCAGCGCCAGTTGAAGGAACCGAATCACCTGACTGGACCAGAGCGACCTGAAAATAGGTATCTTTCTTATAACCAGGGGCGGACTGACCATTCGAGCACTCAGGCACTGCCCGAGGGCCCGGGGTCAGTAGGGGGCCCCATGAAATGCCCCTGGTACCTCTTTATTGGCTTTTTTGGGTGTGCTTTGAGTGTGGGCAAGGACACAGGGGCCCCATGATCCCCTATTGCCCGGGGGCCCCATGAGTTGTCAGTACGCCCCTGCTTACAACAGATCTTTCTTACAAAGATTAGCCAGAAGGATATTAGGAGGGAGGATGGAGCATTTTTAGAAGTTAGGTTTTGACCAGAATTCTACATTAAGGTAATATTGAGGAGATTTCACCAAAGTCCATAGAGAAACTCCAGCAACCTTAGCCCAAGCTCTGATGAAGGGAGATTTTTTGACCACAGAAACGCGTTGGTTACTGCATGTTTACTGGTTGTCATTATACTGTCAGAAATAAAGATATATGGATTTTTGAGCTGATCATTTTCAAGGTGAGGGGTTCCCATGCAGTGGAATCATCCCCCCCATGTTGTGTTTTCCAAGTGGTCGAGGTTTAAGTTGGTAAGAGCTACCATCAATTTTTATATGAAATTGATAGTACAGAAGGTTTAGTCCAGTGCCTCAATTTGTATTATTTCACCTGTTTCAAACTAAAGTTCTCTGTACTCCCACACAAATGAATTTATATGCATGTCCTGATTTCCTAGAAATGGTCAAGACTGATGCTACTCCTCCATCAGTTTTCCTGTTGATTGATACCCTTCACAACAGGTATAAACAGGTATAAACTGCATGAACATACCACCAGCAGCTACCATTCACTTTCGCTATGGCCAAATGTGAGGCTGTTCTGTACAGACGAACTTTTGACACTTCTAGGTAATGTTGGAGCTTACCAACCCTTATATATCTAATCATCCACTATTAGGATGGGCTGCCACATTGGCCAATAGGAATGTGTGAAGCGGGAGGGGGTGGGAAAGTCTTGTTACTCTGGTGCCCTCTTAGAGCCGGGACTCTGATTATAACAACTATAATGGAGCGCCATACATACCAGTGTGGCCATCTCTCTTGTCAGACCCATCTTCCTCTCTGTTTCCTTGTCTATCTTTTCTTTTGTCATCTCCAAGTTTCTTCTGAAATGTTCTGGATGGAGAAGAGAAGAAAACAGCCAAATCTACAAGGGGTTTTAAGTGCATGGAAAGAAATAAAAAAAAGTATATTACTTGATTCCCTCCAGGTACGGTTTGCTGGTACACTGGCCTAGGTATTGCAGCCACTCTTGAGCCCTGCGCCCTGTGTGATACACAATCCTGAGCCCTGCGCCCTGTGTGATACACAATCCTGAGTCCTGTGCCCTGTGTGATACACAATCCTGAGTCCTGTGCGATATGCACTCCTGAACACTGCGCCCTGTAGGATACACACTCCTGAGTCCTGCACTCTGAGCATTACTTATTCCTGAGCCCTCTGCCCTGTGTGATATGCACTCCTGAACACTACGCCCTGTGTGATATGCACTCTTGAACACTGCACCCTGTATGATATGCACTCCTGAACACTACGCCCTGTGTGATATGCACTCCTGAACACTGCACCCTGTAGAATACATACTCCTGAGTCCTGCATGATATGCACTCCCGAGACCTGCACTCTGTCCGTTACTCATTCCTGAAACCTGTGCCCTGTGTGATGTGCACTCCTGAATACTGCTCCACTGTAGGATACACACTCCTGAGTCCTGCGAGATATGCACTCCTGAATACTGCACCCTGTAGAATACACACTCCTGAGTCCTACATATGTACTCCTGAATACTGCACCCTGTAGAATACACACTCCTGAGTCCTACATATGTACTCCTGAATACTGCACCCTGTAGAATACACACTCCTGAGTCCTACATATGTACTCCTGAATACTGCACCCTGTAGAATACACACTCCTGAGTCCTACATATGTACTCCTGAATACTGCATCCTGTAGAATACACACTGCTGAGTCCTGCATGATATGTACTCCTGAATACTGCACCCTGTGTGATATGCACTGCTGAACACTGCACCCTGTAGAATACATACTCCTGAGTCCTACATGATATGTACTCCTGAATACTGCACCCTGTAGAATACACACTCCTAAGTCCTGCATGATATGTACTCCTGAACACTGCACCCTGTAGAATACACACTCCTAAGTCCTGCATAATATGCACTCCTGAGACCTGCACTCTGTCCGTTACTCATTCCTGAGCCCTGTGTGATATGCACTCCTGAACACTGCGCCCTGTGTGATATGCACTGCTGAACACTGCACCCTGTAGAATACACATGCCTACGTCCTGCATGATATGCACTCCTGAGACCTGCACTCTGTCCGTTACTCATTCCTGAGCCCTGTGTGATATGCACTCCTGAATATTGCACCCTGTAGAATACATACTCCTGAGTCCTGCATAATATGGACTCCTGAGACCTGCACTCTGTGTTATTCATTCCTGAACATTGCACCCTTGCATTTTGCAGTTTTCAGCCTTGGCAACACCCATCATTTAAAGCAGCCCCTACCAATTTGCTGTTCTCCCACAGGGGATTGGGGAAGGTGGGTATATACACTGATTTTCTGAGAAAAAAGAATACATGTATGACTACTGAGATGAACATAATGATCTGATTAGTAGCTACTGAAGGCCATACATCAGTGCTCTTTGGGCAGCTTGAGGAGGGATGTAAGTACAGTCTACTGCTGCTCTTAAAATAAAAAACTTAAAAAAAACACGGCTCCTACAAGGAAGATGTTTAAAGTACATTAATCAACTATAACTTCATGACCACCCACCTAATACTGAGCAGGTTCCCCTTATGCGCGCACAACAGCCCTTACCCTTTGAGGCATGGGTTCATTTCTGAAAGTATGCTGTGGTACCTGGCACCAAGCCATCAGTAGCAGACTTGTTTTTTCCAGCACATCCCAAAGTTGCTCAATTGGATTGGCATCTGCATAATTTGGAAGCCAAGTCAACACCTCAGACTCATTGTTGTGTTCCTCAAACCATGCTTGAAGCATTTTTGCAGTGTGGCAGGGTGCATTATCCTGCTGAAAGAGGCCACTGCAATTGGGGAATACTGTTTCCAAGGAGAGTAGTTCGTGGTCATTGACAGTGTTTAGGTAGGTGTTACATGTTGAAGTAACATCCACAAGAATAGCAGGACCCAAGGTTTCCCAGCAGATTATTATCCAAAGCATCACGCTGCCTCTGCCAGTTTGCTTTCTTCCCATACGGCATTCTGGTGCCATCTCTTCCCCCGGTAAGTACATGATTTATCAGACCAGGCCACCTTTCTCCATTGTGACTTGGCCCAGTTCTGATGCTCATGGTGCACATTGTAGATGCTTTTTCGCAGTGGACATGAGTCAGAATGGGCAACTTGACCGGTCTGCAGCTATGCAGCCCCATAGATTACAAAGTGGGATGCCCATTTTTTCTGCTTTCAATGCATCAACTTCAGGGACAACATGTTTACTTGTCGACTAATATACCCCATGGACTTTCAAATGTCATTGTAATGAGATAATCAATGTAATTCACTTAACCTGTCAATAGTCATAAAGTTGTGACTGATCAATATATACAGTATGTATAGCCAAAACTTTTTTTTAGTTTTGGATAACATCATGAAAGGTGAAAATCACTACCAGGTTACTACCAGGTCTGCGTGCAACTGGGGAAATTTCTCTTCACTTCCTGTCCCTGAGACACAACACAAAGTTAGTGGAAATATCCCATAGTGAGGGGAATTCCCTTCTTGGACAGTTGTCTCCAATATAAGATTTCCCACTACCTCTTGTTCTGGGGTCTTTATGCTTTGGTGACAATGGTCACCAGTACAAATAGAGGGGTGAATCTCTCCAGTAGGGACATAGAAAGCAATAAAATGTTTACAGAAGGTCTGACTCTTCCTCACTCTGTCCAAAAATTTAAAAAAAAAGATATTTGTCTAGAGATACCTTTTAATACTTGCCTCTCCTGCATTGAGGAGAAGATGCCCAAGGACGAATTTTCTGAGTCTGTTTTTTCACACTTCCAGGAGTGTCAGATTTATGTAAACAACTGTGCTGAGGTGTCTTCCATCATCCTCTACAACAGTGCTTCTGAGCCGGAGGCCACATGTTACTGGATGAAAATTGCAATTTTTGCTAACACCAACTATATTCACCCGGCACAAAGTCAACACTTTCACAAAAAGTGTATTGAGAGCAGGGCTGGGTAAGCAGTGGAGGCTGAGGGCTCTCAGGGGGTCTGGGGGAAGTGTGGGAGGTTGAGGAGCAAGGTAGGCCACTATGTAAGACTGGGTGGCACTAAGGCACTGTGGGAAGTTAGGGGGTCTGCAGCTGGCTACAGGCCTGGGAGAGGGGGGGAGGCTGCGGCCCATTAGTTGAGAACCACTGCCCTACACAAAGCAGTTGTGACGCAGGGGCTGGTAGAAGGAACCTCAGAGCACTTGGAGGCCAGGAATCCAATACTTCCATAAATGTCAGATTCAGAAGATTCTTCTCATCAGTGCTGGAGCAATCAGTGGTGTCAGAGGAGGTGATTATTACATTTTTAAGTTGAACTTAGAGGGACTGACCATTTATGTCTGTGAAGTTCTGTGCCATATGCTTGATTTCCTCTTGCAGGAGATGAATCTGTTTGGCATGCTCTGGACTCCCCACATTCTTATATTCCAGCCAATAATCCCTCTCTGTCTTTGCCACTGTAATCTGCTTCTCCAGATGCAATATTTCTCTGCGGATCTCTGAAAAGAAAATATTGAAAAATACAGGAAAAGTATACAGTCATGCTTTCCTTTCCATGTGGAGACACGTGCCGGAGCTGCCCACGGGACCCCAGCACAAGGATTTCCACTACAAGGTCAGCACTGGAGAGAGAGACCACTAAATTGGTCATGAACACTGCATTTTTGTAGTGATTTTTTTTTGTTTTTTTCCTTTAATTTCAGGTAAGAAGAACTCTTGGAGTGGAACTGTCCACGGCACATTATCATCCAGCTGTTTTCAGTTGAAAAGGACTTTAGCAACTTAAATTTCAATTATTTAGTCACTTCAGACTGGGAAACAATGAAAACTGTGGTTGCTCTGTTTTTTTGCTTTGCTAGGATAGGGTCACCTGTAAAAAAAAAAAAAATAAATGCACATCTTTAAAAAAAAATGTGCATTTATTATTATTTTTACTGGGAGCCTCTAAAGCACATGTGTCAAACACAAGGCCTGAGTGCCAAATTTGGCCTACCAGGCCATTTCATGTGGCCCTCGTATCTCTCCTGAAGCTACAGTGCCCCTCTCATCTCTGCCCCCCATCTTGAATCAGCAGTTGGCAGCAGAGAAGAGGACAGAGCTCCTCCGCCAGATCTTGCGCTTCTCTGTTCAGCCACGGAGAGACTCGTCTCTGTGTCCCCCCCACTCCCCATCCCCCTGTCTCAGTAGTCGTCAGCTGAGAGGAGGACAGAACACCTCTCTGTGCAGCCGCAGCACCCCATCGTCTCCGCATCCCCTGGTCTCAGCATTCAGCAGACTCTGGCAGCTGACTCCAGCCCTCCTCTGGTTCTCCTCCAGACCCTGCACTTTCTGCTTCCCAGCTCCGCCCCTAGCTTCTTCCTGGCAGCAGCACAAGGTAAGGGGGGGTGCACTGCGATGTAAGGGGACTCTTGACTTCTTCTGGTGGGGGGCTTTTGACATCTGATGTAGGGGATGGGTGTGTCCTGGACATCTAGTCTTACAGATTCAACCAGCCCTTTAAGGGCAACCAAAATGCCAATACGGCCCATGATGAAATTGAGTTTGACACCTCCGCTGTGAAGCATTGAACCCGCAATCAGCAGATCAGGGGGAATCTCGGGTCCCTGTAGACTCTCAGGGTATCTCTCTGCCACTACCTCCTACGGGCAGGCAGTTATACAATGACAGGAAGCATCAATGAACTATCTAGAGTGCTCAACAGAACTGAGCTAGTTCATCGAGAACTACAATCCGCAAATTCAAAAGAAATGCATGTCAAACAAATGATGATGGTTTGCATGTTCATGTGGGAAATAAGTATTTGATCCCCTATCATTCAGAAGGATTTCTGTCTACCAGGTGTCTTTCATACAGGTAACAAGCTGAGATTAGAAGCAGTCCCTGAAAGGGAGTTCTGCTAATCTCATTTTGTTATCTGTATAAAAGACACCTGTCCACAGGAGCAATCAAACAATCAGATTCCAAACTCTCCACCATGGCAAAGACCAAAGAGCTGTCCAAGGATGTCAGGGACAAGATTGTAGACCTACACAAGGCTGGAGTATATGTAAAAACACTGCATGATTTGACAGTCCTATATAAGTACCTGTAATAAATAAAAATACTGAAAATTACATTAACATGTTAAAGATTAGATGAGATTTTGGTGATTGGGCTAGCATCTATCTTTATTCTGCAGCTCACTCATCATAGGAGACTCTTCTGTCTGCATCCCCATCTCCATCATACTGTTACCTATTTATAGTTGAGCACATACAATAAAGCTATCTAAATCTATGCACCTGAAAGATTATCTATCTAGTAATAGAAAAAAAAAAATATATAATAGAAAAAATATATAAATTATCTATCTATCTATCTATCTAGTAATAGAAAAAAAATATATACAATAGAAAAAAATATATATTATTATCTATCTATCTATCTATCTATCTATCTATCTATCTATCTATCTATCTATCATCTAACTATCTATCTATCTATCTATCTATCTATCTATCTATCTATCTATCTATCTATCTATCTATCTATATCTATCTATCTATCTATCTATCTATCTATCTATCTATCTATCTATCTATCTATATCTATCTATGTATTATCTATCTATCTATGTATTATCTATCTATCTATCTAGTAATAGAAAAAAATATATACAATAGAAAAAAATATATATATTATCTATCTATCATCTATCTATCTATCTAGTAATAGAAAAAAAATATATACCGTATTTTCCGGCGTATAAGACGACTTTTTTAACCCATGAAAATCTTCTGAAAAGTCGGGGGTCGTCTTATACGCCGGTATACGGTGAGCCGGTATCAGGGCGGCACTTTTTTCGAGGGGCGGCGCGGTGGCGGAAGGGACACTAAGTACAGGTGCGGGCAGGGGGCTGCTGTACCTTACCTGGCTCCAGTCCCGGTCCCACGACGATCCGGTCCAGGAAGTGCTGCTGTTCCTTCTTTCAGTTCGCCACTCGATGGTCGCACGGCTGCTCGGCTCCGGTGATTGGGCGCCAGCACCGGAAAGGCACACAGGCGACCAATCACCGGCGAGGAGGCAGAGCCGAGCGGCCAGTAAGTGTGCAGCAGCACCATGCTGTGACACTCTTGGCACTATTCCTCCCCCCCCCCACTGACACTAACGATGGGGCACTGTTCCTCCCCCACTGACACCAACGATGAGGCACTATCCTCCCCCACTGACACCAACAATGGGACACTATTCCTCCTCCCCAATGACACCAATGATGGGGCACTATTCCTCCCCCACTGACACCAATGATGGGGCACTATTCCTTCCACTGATACCAATGATGGGGCACTTTTCCCCCCCACTGATACCAACGATGGGGCACTATTCCTTCCACTGATACCAATGATGGAGCACTATTCCTCCCACTGATACCAATGATGGGGCACTATTCCTCCCACTGATACCAATGATGGGGCACTATTCCTCCCACTGACACCAATGATGGGGCACTATTCCTTCCACTGATACCAATGATGGGGTACTATTCCCCCCACTGATACCAATGATGGAGCACTATTCCTTCCACTGATACCAATGATGGGGCGCTATTCTCCCACTGACACCAATGATGGGGCAACATCATTGGTGTCAGTGGGGGCAATAGTGTCCCATCATTCCTTATCATGTGGGGACTTTTCCCGCCACTGAATAGTGCACTATTCCCCCATCATTGGTGTCAGTTCCTCACACATGACTGACAAATGAGTGCCCCATCATTGGTGTCAGTGGGAGGAATAGTGCCCCATCATTGGTGTCAGTGGGAGGAATAGTGCCCCATCATTGGTGTCAGTGGATGAAATAGTTCCCCATCATTGGTGTCAGTGGGAGGAATAGTGTCCCATCATTGGTATCAGTGGGAGGAATAGTGCCCCATCATTGGTGTTATGGAGGAATAGTGTCCCATCATTGGTATCAGTGGGAGGAATAGTCCCCATCATTGGTGTCAGTGGGAGGATAGTGCCTCATCATTGGTGTCAGTGGGAGGAGTACAAACCCTATATTTTAACAGGAAAAGTAGCGGGTCGTCTTATACGCCGGAAAATACGGTACAATAGAAAAAAAATATATACATATATTATCTATCTATCTATCTATCTATCTATCTAGTAATAGAAAAAAAAATATACAATAGAAAATATATATATATATATATATATATATATATATATATATATATATATATATATATATTATCTATCTATCTAATAATAGAAAAATAATATAAAATAGATATATATATATATATATATATATATATATATATATATATATATATATAATCTAAAAATCTATACAATCTAAAGCTATATCATTTCCTATGTATACTTCCTCGGTTACAGTCTCTCATCTGCTGGGATACAGGTACAAGTTCCAGGCTGAGCCTCACTCCTCCGCTGTCGGTCGGATTTAATTGCTCCTGAACTAACAGACTTGCAGCGAGGAGAAGGAACAGGGGAGGCTCGGAGCTCTGGGGAGATAAACATTAAGTATTAGAGCTGCACTGTGCTGAGAGAAAAGACAAATATAAAAATAACTTTATTCCCCAGCTAATACCAATGGAAACTCTGCAGAAGAGAGCGGAGACTGCAGAGTGATGCTGTCATGAATTCTAAATATTTCCTACAGCAGGCAGCAGTAAATCAGAAATAAATTCCTAGAAATATTCTAAAAGGCCTATACAACCAAAAGTGCTATGTCATTTATAGGTGGGGTCTGGCAGGCTAGATCACCTGCAAGCTTCAGATATCTCTAGGAGAGTGAGAATTCACCACCCACCGGAGAGGTAAGTTGGAAGAGTGTTTGTTTTTTTTTTTTGGCAGGCTTCTTGTTTGCATAAGAACTCCAGATAGATATAAAAGACACAAATTACCGCTTTTGCATTTTTTGCACAAGTTTTTAAAAAATAATTGTAGGCTAAAAGATTATGTAAAACACCCCAAAACATTCTTTTGTGAAAGAAGACACCCTAGACCAGGGGCGGACTGACCTTTGAGGCACACGGGCACTGCCCAAGGGCTCAGGGTCAGTAGGGGGGCCCCATGAGATGCCCTTGGTACCTTTCATAGGCTTTTTTGTGTGTGGTTTGAGTGTGGGCAAAGACACAGGGGCCCCATTAATTGTCAGTCCGCCCCTGCCTTAGACCAGGGGTCTCTAAACTTTTTAAGCAAAGGACCATTTTACTATCCTTTAGGCTTTAGGGGGCTCAGACTGTGGCCAGTGGGAGAAGAACATGCAACATTGGTATTAGTGGGAGGAATAGTGCCCCATCATTGGTATCAGTGGGAGGAATAGTGCCCCATCATTGGTGTCAGTGTGAGGAATGGTGCCCCACCGTTGGTATCAGTGGGAGGAATAGTGCCCCATCATTGGTATCAGTGGGAGGAATAGTGCCCCATCATTGGTATCAGTGGGAGGAATAGTGCCCCATCATTGGTGTCAGTGGGAGGAATAGTGCCCCATC